AGAGCGTCACGTTCACTTGACAATTTGGAAAGCTAAAAATAATGAATATCAAATCAGGACTTAGTCCAGTAAGACTAAGGCAAAATGTCCACTCATGAGCACAGTGAATAACCTTCATTGAAAGATTATGACAATAAACGACCAAGGTATGAACTTTAGAAAAAAAATACTTAACAATCATACATTCAAAATGCCTATGCTATTCCCACCTGCTTCCTCCACCTGTCTGTAAGAGGATACAAAAAAATCCATGAGACATAATCAACCATTTGATTAAAAAACCTGCGCAACAAGATCGAAGGCCAGTGGCAATGGGTCGATTCGTGTGAATTAATACTTTGAAAATTAGGATATTAAGATTCCAAAGTGAGCGATAAGCTAATACCTTAAAAGCAACGATTTGCACATTGAAAAGTATTTTTAAAAAAATGAATCTTACCAAACGCATCTGCATTGAGTTTTCAGCTTTCAATTGACGGCTATTCATGAGATCTCGTTGAAGAGTCACTTGTCTTTGACCAATGATTCTAAGATGAAAAAAGGGGGAAATTTGAAAATGGTATACACAGCAATGAATTGTAGAAGCTGTGAAGAGATTATGTCTTCAAGAGATCATTCTTTTCATTTTGTATTAACTGCATATGCCTAAATAGGCAAACAGAATAACACGCTACCCTAAATTGAGCACTTATCAAAAAATATGAATCAAAGTATTTCAAGGAGATTTTGATTAAGAAAGGATATTTAAGTTCCATCTCCCCCTTGGCCTTCTAACTAAGGCTAAAGTCACGGTCATATTTTGAGAAATTTAATAATACATTTAAAACACCCCACATCGACAGGGAGAGAACTTGATGTTTTTTTATCAATTACTGTCAATAAAAAAATGAAGAGTGTATAACGTGAAGACTGATATAAGAAGATGCTATCAAGATGGATCTAAATGTTTCTTTACGGTGATTTAATCTTTTGTAAAAAATACTGGAAATTGGAGGAAAACTTATTAATCTCTACCAATATTGGAAGTGATGCATCTAATGTTGAATTACAATTCACTCATTTCATTATAAAAATCAAAGTAATTATTGTCAATTCAAATCGATAAAGCAAACTAGCTAAGGATTCTGGAGCTCAAATAAATAATCTCCTATGTTTACTAGATTTCTCGTCTACTTTTTACATTCTCCCACTAGAACTTAATTTTATACTAAGGAGGAAGAAAATCTCCACTGTTACTACAAACTGTCTGTTAAAACTAAGTCCATAATGAGCTAGCAACTCAGAGGCTTAATGTGGACATTTGAAAATTCTAGAATTTACTATTAACAACTAAACACGACGGAATCCCAGAAAACACTGAGAAGCGCTAATCATGACACACGAGATATAAATCAAAACACCAATTAAACATAGACGATTTCAATTCCTTATTTAACCATAGCAACATGGATATTAGACAAATTAGACTACCTAAATGAAGAAATAGAGCAAGTAAAGATTTCTAAATAAATTCTTTCCAATTTCATTGCTTAGAAAATATTAGGACTAATGAGATAGATTGCGACATAAAAGCGCAAACATTAAGATCCAATTAAAGACCTTGATAATAGCAATGCATACAACTGCGAGAAAGCAAGCATTTTCATATACACACAACCTGAACTCATCAATGTCAATGCATAATAGACAATATTAATAAGCAGATAAAGGAGGAATGATTTTTTATGTTTAACACATAATTTGTTCAAGCGCATGCCAGTCTAACCGCGAGAATATTAAAAGAAAATTTAGCGAAAAATAATTGGAGGAAACTCATTACCCAAAGATTCCATTCGAAAAATGATTAGTTACACCTGTCTACATGTGATCAAATTACTCATACTTTAATATTTATAAGAAGAAAATCACTTCAGAGGTCTATGAAACTATTAGCCAGGCACTTGCCTTATGAGATCATGCACAGACGAGTTCTGTTGTCGCAAACGTGTTCGCTCTTTCTTGAGTGACTCGAGTTCTTCTTCCAGATCTTGATATCTACGGTCACATTCATCGTGGTTTGCCTAACATATATGCGAAATTGAGTGAAGAAGAGAATCAGAGGGGGTTGAGCAGGAAAACAAACTTACGGTAATAATGGGCGTGGAGTAATATTCTTGAGCAAGGCATCCACTAGAATACTTACCTACAGATTAAGTAGCTACTGATAAATAATAAGTAGCAATGCAAATAATTTGTCAAAGAGGTCATATTATCACATTTTGATTTCTTCGAATTTAATGGGAGAAAATAAAATGAGAAATCCAATTAGTCAGTTCATTGACTGTCAACAAACAAATACCAGAGCAGGTAAATTATGCGATTCGTAATTTCTGCAAAGCATATCCCCCAAAATAACGTCAATTTGATTTCCTAAACCATGAGGATTCATATACCGGAACAGATCCACATTTCCAAGCCACTTTCTACTACTGAGAGCTAATTTTCACCTTTCATAATAAAAAAGAAAACTCCAAGCAGAGGCATTTTCACTCATAAAATAATCTTAAATTTATATAGCTAATTGGAATTTGCGCACGAACGAAAATAAATGGCTCTTCGCGAGGACAACTGATTAGTGAAAGTTGAATTTTAATATATTCTTACAAACTTAGTATAAAATCTCCCATAAAAGAGAAAAGAAAATAATGAAACGACGAGCAGAATAGAGTGAGAGGTTTCATGGGCATGTTAAAGTCAAGTTAACATCAGAATTGAAAAAAACGATGTTTATAAACGGAAGCACCAACAAAATAATAATATATGCCGTAGGTTAATTGCCTCAACTGGTGCTAATATTTAAGGGCCGAAATCCCACACAATTTGCATATAACATTGGGTAAAACTAATAGTGCCAAAACTATACCGCTAATTCATTTACGAAAAATATCTGATTTTAAACCTAACAATCCAGAAAGAAAGCGTCCTTAGTAGAAAATCAGTCCATATTGTCTCCCGCTTGGAGCATTTCCGCCATTTTAAATTTTCAAGAGTTCACATTGAGTTGAATATAGAATAGAAAGTTGCGTGTGTCGGCCTATAAGTCAAACTTTTTAAAAGCCAGACCAAATGAAAGTCAATATATTCTCATAGAATTATTGATTTTTGGGTCAATGTGGTACAAGAAATTTTCCTTGATAGGTCGGCTAAGGGTTAAGTGAGATCACGTTTTTATTCTAAAATCAAGAATGAATTAGAGGGAAAAGGAAAAAGTGGGAAGATGAATTTGGATGAAAATAGTAAACGTCCAAACTCATCAAGAGCATCACGTGTTGCGGCTAATAGGTGAAGTAAGACATGTTTTAAAATCGACAAACAAAAAACATCAGTTGGTAATTAATTGAGTTAGTAAATGCGCCATATAGAGATAATGCAAGCCTCCACTTGACACCTCCATGAAAAATAGAATTCTATCTACCAAAACAAACCCTGAAGAATAAAATAATTCCATTAGATGAGTTAAGAGTGCCAGCCATTTAATATGCGAACTTATGTTGACACTCGTTTTCCAGATATGGGTAAAATTTAAAATGCCCGATAATAAGCAACCTTCAACCATCAAGTACATCTATCCTCAGTGTAGGTAAAGAAATGCAATCCTCTCTCTGAAAACTATATCACGATTCAGTCAATTTTAACTAATACAACTAAACGATAGTGTCCAAGTTTATAATAAATATGCTTCTCATCAATTTTCTGTCGAAATCGCGAATATATGGAATGAAATAAAAATGTGGCGAATATCTTAGATGAAGAGCGCCATTAATAAATAAATTAAATTGAACTTGCATGTGAGGAGAGGACAATGATGTTGATTTCTTAAATGAGCCACATCAGCTCGTAGTAAGCGGTTCGTATCAATAACATATTGAACGCGAATGACCATATCCTTCCTATTATTAAGACAAAATCGATTCACTTTCACTTTAGCAAAAAAATGTATCAAATCACTCAATTTCTTTCTGAAAAGCATAACAGGAGCAAAAGCTGTAGCCATAGTGATGGACAATAAAATAGGATAAATGACTTCCGGAAACGCAGGAAACGAAAATAAAACACAAAGCTAGGCATTCATAAACATTTTAAAATACTAAATAAACGAAAACATTCCTTACAAAAATAAAAATAAGTTATATATCTGTTGGACTTTCAAAATAAGGTCATAAACACGAACATTAAGATGAAATTTCATGATTGAAATCTTACCAGAATTCAGGGGACATAGAACGAATTTTATTATCGTCAAGTTGATGCAATGTCAACTCAAGATCATCGTGCTCATGCCATTGATTATGTAGGTTGTGCCTATTCAAGATGCCGTCACGTGGCATTAAATCCTTATCAAGAAACCCCAAATCAATTAGTACAACAAAAAACAAATGCCAAAGGAAAAATTTTAACATATATTTTGAACACAACACAGGAAATCGATGATGGATAATTTCAATTATACTTCGAAAAAGAGCCGTATCAGTTAGGCAAAAAACATGAAAGTCAATATCTTTGTCAACCATAAAAAATTCATTCAAGCTTATAAAATACTCAGAATAAATTTTATATTAAACATTTTAGAAAATATAGAATAAATGAATACAAGATTATTAATAGAGAATGAATATAAAATACAAAATAAAGCAACACCCAAAGGATTCGAACGCCTTAGTTGGGATTAATGTAGAGAGTGCTTGTAATTTCGATGTGTTTAAACTAAATATTTCTAAAAATATAATATAATATTTAACATTAATTCAAAAGATTAAAAATATTTATAATTTAATTAACAAAATTACGATTTTTAGATATGAATTTACACGTTAAATTCTAATGTAAAAATGCTATTAATGAGAAAATAAAAGATAAATTTAGATTTTTGTAACAACATGTGGTCCTTAAAACTTGACAAATCTTGGTTTTGATAATTTTATTACCCTGCCGCGGATTACAAGAAGATTTGAGGCATCGCTATGTCGGCTGGATTTGATCCTTGGAAGTATTTTCATGAAAGCCCAGAGGAACAAGCAGCTATTAATGCTCGTGCTCAATATAGAAATGCTATGAAGGAAGAGTACAGGCGAATCAAAACAAATCCAATTAATCCGCCCCAGGGTGTTATTGTACGCTCTTAAATGGTCTATACTTTTCGTGTTTTAATTATTTCCTCATCATTATGTGTTGTTTCATTCTTATTTCACTTATATCTTTCTAATTCGACTAGTCTTTTACATATATGTACATTTTAGCATGATCCAAACATGCAGCGATGGTTTTCTGCTCGTGTTACTTACGCCGAGTACATTAAGCCGTCAACAAAAGGTTGCTTCGTCGTCTCCGCTTTTTTCGGATTTTTTGGTCTAGTTTACTTGGGTTTGTCTTCTCGCAGGGTAATAAATTCTATTTTGTTCTTTCTTACATACTCTTGTCTAATATTAATCCACATTTTTTTTTATTCGTAGAATCGCCGTGTAGCTGAAATCGAAAGGGGTGAAGTCGATTACAAAACTCGCGCCCTAAAGTTCGATCCGAAATAATGCTATCGCCGATTTTCCTCTAGTTGCATTAGTATTTTGTATATCCAAATATATATATTCCGCCTATTCATTTGTATTATTTCTTTTTTGCGTCAGTTTATTACTAGTTATTTGTTTTTACCCTTATTGCTTTACGTTTATGGTCGTTTGCCCTTTTCCTACTCATTGCTCAGCCCTTGCTACCTGCGATTCTAATCAATTTTTTATACGTGATAAGTAGCTATCGTTGAAAAAAATTTATTCACTTGGATTTCGTCTTATTAGAAGTTGTAGTTTGAGGTTCTTTACTCTCTTCTTTCACTATCAAGAAACCTTTTCCGTCATTCGGTTCCCATGGTTTTGTCGTCTTTGGCATTTCCTCCTTTGGGTCAATATTGAAGTTTGCTAATGGAATTGACGCCTCTTTTTCTGGCTCAATTGCGTTGAATATAACTGGAAGAGTCACGCAAGGTCCCTTTGTTCCAACAATTTCTCCTTTTGGAAGATTCATTAGTCCACTTGGCAAATTCAATTCCTTCAAAATGGTGTCTTGGGCTAGTGGGTCTTGAAGATTTTGAGGCCTTAATATTGCCTTCAAGACGACCTCATAACTCACCAATATTGGTTCTTTCTGGCGAACAGTTTTTTTCTCATTACATCGGCAGTTATCATACGAATTTTCATCCCTCTCTATGATAGTTGGAGGGAGTAGCTTTTTTATGTCTTGTGAAGTAATCGTATGTCCAATTGCTTCACTTAGAGTTGAAAATGCTGGTCTTCTTTGAGGAATCATCTCATATCTGGGTGGTTGCTGGATGCTATAAAGCAGTTCCTGTTCCGAATATTCCGGAAATTTGTCTTTATCCAATTCACTTATAGATTTCCACGGGCAAAGCTGACATTGCAGTCTAAGTTTTTCTGTAGCCGGAAGAATAGGCATTTCATTATCGTCCCTTTCAGCTGTTACTTCCTTCCGACATATTGTATTTCTCCATTCCTTATCAGGAGCATGTCTCAGACGAATAGATTGAACTAACTCTATGCGTACTTGCTGAATTACTCTACAGGAGCTATTATGAATCTTCATATTCACTTTAATGGGTTCACCCATTCGGTAGGAAACCTTGTCTAATTGAGCAATTAAGGTGATAACTCCTCCATCAGAGCTTCTCCAAGGCTCAACTACTAATGAATAATCAGTACTGATTTGTGGTGGTAATTGCAACCGCATCACCGTATCTATTGGGACATAAGTCATTTTTCTAATCTTCATCTCAGCTATGTTTTTCGCGTCGGGTTTCACCTCATCTTTATTCAAAGCGAATACTCGAACTGTCCAGTAAATACCGGCTTTGGGACGAGGTTTTATTCGAGGCCGCCATGGATATGAATCGGCATGGAAGCCATCCTTTATCGCCTGTCTCTTGATATCGAGTTTTCGAAGTACTTTAGGCTTTTTAATAGGCTCACCAGGATGTCGGATTCTTGGTAGATTACAATCATCATCATCATCATCGGAATCACTGAAAAATTCATAATCACTGAATTCGTCGTTCTCTTGGAAACCGAATAATGCATCATTGTATAGCTCCTGTCTGGTTTTAGACGCCGCGTGTCCATTAGTAGGCTTTGCTTTAATTGATTTGATCGTAATTGAATCAGGGCCGCTGTTAATATCAAATCTAAAAGGAAAATTGTAGACTATGCAAGGTTTTTCGTGGTATTCCGTAGAATCGGGAAATTTTGACGCACAAGCGCTTCCGAGTTTCTCATAAAGTTGTATAAACTTTTTGCTGTATTCATTCAAATCATCTGGAGGGTATTTAAAACAAGTATAATCACATTGTACAAAATCGGGGCATAGCAGTTCTTGTTGTGAGAAAATAACTTCATCCTTTATATTATCGAATTCGCTTAAATCAATCGGGGATGTTCGATATCGAGCACTAATTTCGGCGTAGAGTTTACCCTGAAATTGCATCATCCAAGGGGAAAATCGAGCGACTCCTTCGATGATTCCATTGTGCTCTGGTCTAAAGTCGGGTTTTGAGGACTCCAATGACGAAACGGAATTTCTAGTTTCATAGTTAGACCAGTAGTCTCGATTTAATAGATAAATACCAACGCATTTGGACGGGGATAGTTTCTTCCAAGCAGGCCGAGCAGTTCCACATAGGTAACGATGAAATCGAGAATCTTCAGGGTTAATGGCCATGTCGCCTTGGAAATGATAACATGCTTTGGCATAGCGGACAACGTGGTCTGTTTGAACGTGACGTTCGATAATCTTGAACCACTTGATACTCCATTGCTAAGGATATATTTTCCAGTGAGCTTGAATTTTCAGAAATTTGTTGGCTTCCTGAAATACTTCAGTTCTTACCTAATGGTTACATTCCAATTTCGCACATGTAAATTCCAAGTTCGTTAACGTTTCGATAAGCTTACGCTGTCTAAGCACTGGAACAGAGGCATTTTATTAATAGATGCTAAATGAAGTTAAATTGAAGGTTCAATGACTAGATCAAGCTCGTCTTATTGTGTTCTGATAAATGAAGCCTCCACAACTTAAAGCCAACTATTATAGCTTGGTTAAATCCGATTTAGCAAAAAAATTCACCATAAAACCTTCTTTCCACTCTTACTTTCACAGTACCAAAGAACGTGAATTTTTTTTGTAAAAAGTTATAGGACCATGAAATATAAACTTCAGAAAGCAAAAACATGAATGTTGGAAAGATGAAGTTTCCTCGAAGGACTTGTTTGTTTAAAGGTCAGGTATGGGAACATATAAGAAGATGAACTCTAGATATTCTTATCAAACTACAAATGTTTCGAAGACTTAAAAGACGGAGGAGAGATTGGGCTATTAGCAAGCACTTTGTCTTCAGAAATCTCATTCTTCATTCGTTTTTGTTAAAAAAATTCAATCAAATTGAGTTTTCGAATTTCCATCATTATCAGGACATTCAAGCTCTTTCCCAAATGATCATAATGCAACGAGATAATGGGAAAAGATCAATAATCTCATTTATTAACGAATTCGGTCATTCCTTAGGGAAGATCTTTGAGTTTTCGACCAAATTGTTATTTTAGAGACAGCTACTTAAACTATCTATTTGTGGTCAATTGTACTGAGATGTGTAGAGTGCGCATTCCTAACATGATTAAACGGGGAATCCAAACATTCAGGAAGGGTGCGGTCGTGAATGCAGAGGACTTCTCAACTATTAATTAATGCGGTGAATGTGTTCAAATACGAAGTGAGTTAGCTCGAGCATAATTGCCAAGAAACGCTATACGACTGCTTCTTCTTGAGATTATTGAGCATAAGTCAACAGATGGAGTAGCTTTGCTATTTGCACAAACATTTGAAACGGATACCTCTCTGCAAATGCGTGCTTCTGAGGTTAAAATGAATATGATACTAATCTTTCGAATGAGCACGTATGGGATGATTTTCTCTGGAAGTGAAAGAATGACTAATGGGAAAGCATTGACTTAATAAAATACTTATACCATCATTATTCGCGGTTTTGTACATTTATAAGCAGAGAAGTCGAACTTTGATTACATGTAACGTTGTCACTCAGTAAGTGCATCAGGTCTCCATCAGCGTGATTTGATCGATTCATGAAAGATCTATCAGAATTTCACTTTATACTATTTGTAAATGGCACCGATTGAACCATCCCAACAACCCCCTACATCAGTCTTCCCTCCTAACAGGGTCTGTACTTCTATAGTCAGGTTTGAGTCAAAGGCATTTATCACACCGACAGAAAAGAAATACCCGAGTCCTTCTATTTCCATTTCCTTACCACATTGTATATTAGTGATGCACGCACGAAGCTCGTCTTAGAGGTAAAAATCGGGACGGGGGAAAGTCAATGGAACTAAGATTTAGGAAATTCCGAATTGATATAAGAACTTTGTATCATATCTTAAGCCTGGGCCACAGAGTGGTTTATGAAGCGAGCGCCATATATTGAAAAGAAAGGTGGATGAGTTGAGAAAACTTGGTGGGAATTGTTAACCTCAAGACGTGACACAAGTACTGAAGCAATGCCTCCTCCTCGGAATGACAAACTCACTGGAGAAAAGAACAGTGGAAAATCCCCAAGTTAACAAAATTATTTATACTTAAAAAAAATACAGGGTGATAATGTACAAAGGGGAGCACAAACACACGAGTTATACAAACGTATTAAAGGAAACCTCTACAGGAAAGATGGGCTTGGAAAGGAAGAAGTTTGTACCAGCATTATCACTCAAAGTTCCATCCTGTTCACTGAACTTTGGTCTCTTTACTTCGATCTTCTGATCTTCTTTTTCACTATTACAATCGTTATCATTAGTCTCTTCTGTCATCAGAGCGGAAATGTAGGGTCGAGAGGATGTAGATGGAAGAAGGATCATCGAACATGTTGCAAATTCCATTCGTTCAATAGCGCTGAGACCTTCAGCTGAAATGAAAATGAAGCCATTATGAATAGAACTTTCTGAAAGAGTTCTGTTCGAAACGGCATTCTACAACCATAGTTAATCATTTCAAAAGGCACATGCATGCAACTTGAGCGACTTATAACTACGGGGAACAGTGGAGCTAACAATTAAGCGAAATTAGCATCCAAAATAAGCTATAGAAAACACTACGACAGCAGATTCATGATAGCTAAAATCTGAAGCACGCGTGTTTAACCTCAACCAAGAGCATTCAGATAAGAACAGAAGAACTATTTTAATCGAAAAAGACTTAGTTGCCTCCATTTTTTCGAAAATAATAGTATTCGATTAGACAAATAAGATTATTCAAATTTATAAGAATTCGAAAAAAGCTAAACTTCGCTTATTCTAAAGAAAGTATGTTAACGTGATTGTAAGGAGTTGATGATGGTGCGATACGTGGGGGACGCGTAAGCAGATTAAAATTATGTAAGATAAGTGTCTTATAGGCGTTAGAAGGGAAATTGAATTGAAAAACTGACCACAAAATACTGTCGACAATGTTGGTCACAATATTTTGAAGTCAACTGCAGAGTTACAGACTTTTTGCCGTAGGAGAATACGTTGTCCAGGGTGTATCACGTGGAGGTAAGTCTATTTCAAACTAAGGGACTAATGATAAATATCATAAACCCTACCATTTGAAATAATATTGTGGACAAGAACATGCTCAGCAACGAATCATAAAATTTAAATTTTGAAATTTGAACAATAAAAATATAGGCAAATATTTTGCTATTCGAATGCACCAAGGCTCTGACGCCAAACATATTTCCATTCTCGAGCATATAGTTAAACCAATTGTACTTTTAACCAAAGAAAAATGAACAGCTTTGTGGCTTGTTATGAGTTATAATGAAGTAATTTGGCCTCCCAACTTTATTCAATTAGATATTGGCCGTTCTTGTCAATGACCTTTTTCCATCGTTCTGGCAGAGTAAAAATTCCCCCTTCGTAAAATGTCTGGTCTTTGCTATTAAAAAACTGAATTAGGTGTGATCCGACACCATCCGGGTTGTTAAACATTTTATCATTTAAAGAGTTTTGCATGGAACGAAACAAATGGTAATCCGAAGGCGCAAGGTCAGGGCTATATGGTGGGTGTGACAAAACATCCCAACCCAGTTCCAATCATTTTTGCCGAGTAACCAAAGATGTGTGGGGCCTTGCGTTATCATGATGGAAAACAACACCCTTCCGACTTGATAATGCCGGCCGCTTATCTTCAATTACATCCTTCTTTCAGTTTTTCGAGTTCTTCAACATACACATTTGAATTTATCGTTTGGTTCTGCGGCATGAGTTCAAAATACAAAATTCCTTTGTGATCCCACCAGACTGACAGCATAATCTTTTTTTGGTGAATCTCTGCTTTTCATACTGCTTGGGCTGGTTGATCTTGCTTCACCCATGATCTCTTGCGAGTAACATTGTCATAAACTATCCACTTTTCGTCGCCAGTAACTAGGTTCTTCAGAAATGGATCATTCTCATTGCGTTTCAGTAGCGGCGAATCACAGATGCTAATCCGTTGCGTCAAATGAATTTCCTTTAACTGGTGAGGGATCCATAAATCAAGTTTCTTGACATAACCAAGGGTTTTTAATGTTTTTTTCAATGCATGTATGCGACACATTGAGCAGCTTCTCTGCAATATCTCGTGTTGTGCTGTGACGATTTGAATCGATAATGGCCTTGATATGGGTTTCATCCACTTCGACTGAGCAGCCAGATCGTTGTGAATTTTTCAGTGAAAAATCACCGCAACGAAATCTTTCAAACCAATTTCGACACTGCCTTTCTTTTAAGGCTTCATCTCCATATACGGCACATAACTTCTTTTGTGCTTGCGATGCGTTCTTGCCTTTTCGGAAGTAATACAATAAAATGTGTCGGAAGTGCACGTCCTGTTCTTTCATTTTTAAATTGGGATAAAAACAAAACTAAAGAACTAAACAAAAAAATTTTTTACTAATTAACCTAGAAGCTTATACAGTAAGAAAAAAATATAGGTTAGATGCTCTGGCCACGTTAACAAAACAAAAGAAAGTATAGAGTGAATCTGTCAACAAAAACGGCAACGACTTAGTTGCCAACCCAATACATGTTGCCTTAAAGAGGTCTCAATGTACTAAGGGGTTTGAACTTGAGTTTGAAAGTTGGACCACAAAAATGTATAAATCAAATAAAGATAATACTAAAAAATCCAATCATGAATAGGATGATGCTAAACGATTGAAAAAAGACGCAAACGGAGAAGAGACTAATTACCTGGAGGAGGAAATAGATAATGTGGTTCTTGCCTCAAAGCCACATAGTGCATAAGCGATACTTGAGTTTTACGGCGTTTTTCCAACTTTAGCCGCCTTAAACCAGCCATATTGTTAGCAGGCAAAGGTCGTGTGACCTTAGTGAAGAGATAAGTGTGAGGGTCAGGTAAAGGAGGAACAAAGAGATGCGCTGGGGCTTTTGGGGGTGTAGGAACATTTGTGGAAGATATGGAGGAAGATGCAGCTGGAACAACTGGCTTGACGATTTCACTACGAAGACTAGGTTGAACACACACAACTCGAGTACCATTCATACCTAACACAGATTCCGTCGTAATTCCGCGCGACTGAATGCATCGAGAGGGAGCTAAAATAAAAAATCCAAAGTCGTAGACAAATTGAATCCAGAGTAATTGAATTCTTTTTTACTTACGTTCATTTAGTGATCCAGAAATATTTGGACGCACAGGACCAAGAAGACGATTAACGTCCAAGCCAAAATCGATTAAAGCCATGACGATGTCATTCAGAACTACTTTTGATCGATTTGCAGCCTCTGCATAAGTCAAACTCTTACTTGCAATAGATTCAAAAACTGTAAATATAAAGACGAATGAAGTACATTAAAGGAATCAAGAAATTGGATTGAATGCTACTTACATGAGAGATAGAGATTGATCAGCATGTTTAAACAGGGCCTTTGAATATTTTGAAATCCAAATTGACTAGCCAAATTGGCAATAAAGTTCTCCAAAAGCATCGTAAGACCATCCTTCATGACCCCTTCCTCGCAAAGATAAAGTGAAAATCAAGGATTCAAACAAGTCCGCAAAATGCCACACTATAAACAAATTCTCTAATAACTACAAATATTTTTAAAATTTTACAAGGCTTAATTGTGAAATTGATAATAATTTTGTTATTCTTAATTTATTTTTTAAACCACCTGATGGCTACTGTTTACTCAAATTAACTACGGCCAGTCTGAAATGGGAAAGGTTAGTACTTGAATCGAATGTATTATATTCTTATAGCTTCATGGATTTTTTTGTAATATTTTTTTAATTATTCATTCTTATTTATTTTTAGAAGGATAGGCCTAAAACTTATATCACTCCAATTCATCTTCAAATAGATATTTTGTATCGCCAAGCCTATTGTTGCATACATCCCCTTCTCAGCTGCAAGAATGAGGTTGAAAGAGAGGTTATTTACTCAACATGCCGTCGTTGTGTAAGGCAACTGCTTCTCCTTGCTAAAAAATCTCGTGTGCGGCTTTCTCCTGTGATGCGTCGTTCAATTTGTCGTGGATGTCATTTAATTCTCGATTCCAGAGTTACGAGTCGTCTTAAAATGCATAATTCAGGACTCATTGTTACTTGCGAGGCCTGTGGTACAAGAAATATTACCTCCTTACAACCCAATAAACCTTATCGTCCATCTTACTTTGAACGAACACTCCCAGATTCTAAGCTTCCCATTGCTGAAACTGATTAAATAAACAATCCTAAATCCCGCCTTTTTCCTTTGAAATTATGACCTTAGAACCTTACCAACGATCTTTTACACTTAGAAGCAATGCTCAGAAGCCTTCTTTGTCGTGTTCCTAAAAGGTTCAATTCTTCAACGCCTACCTTTGACACGAAACATCTTGATGTTTTGGTTTGCCCTATAAGCAAGGGACCCTTAACGTAAGAATTTCTCATTCTTGTAGTGTCTTACAGTTTCATTTAGCTATGACAGTGAGAAGCAACTGCTAATCAATAAAGAACTCAAAATTGCCTACAAGATCATTGACGGAATCCCGAATCTCATTCCAGAAGATGCCTTGACGGAGTTCTGAACTACGTAAATAGATCAGCGAATAAATATAATTTATATTGATCATTGTCACTTTTTTTCTTTTTAATGCAAAACGGCCACAGTCTGTTATCCGATTAAACTTCAGACTTAGGCTCTCTTTACATTATCGAGCATAATTTCTTTTCATCTTGATACCATAACCTCATTATCGCCCTGTTTTCGCTTGCCTGGTGCATTTGTCATTTATAAATTAAAAATATTTTGCATATGAATAGTCTGCGTGCTTATTTTTAGCTATCTTTTACTGTATTTGAAACCGCTTGTGAAGAAGAGATGAGCCCTAATCTAAAATGGTTCAGCTTCTTTATACCATCTGATTGAACAGGCTCTCTGTTGAGAAAAGTTGGTTTTACCGGTTCTGAGGTTCCAAATGTGTTGAAAATGAGAATAGTTAGTGGTTGCTGGATAGCATAGCTGAATCATAACTTCTCTCATTGTGTACAAACCGTTACGTTCGGGGACAGCGGGATTCTCTGGTTCGAAGAGGTGTCATTTCAATAAGACACCTGTGTTTTGTATAAATACTTTACTTTAAAACCGATTTGGAAAACATGTAGTGCCGAAGAGATAACTTCTACAAGTACATAGCTATCAATAACTAGTTGGTACCACGAATAGGAAGGCAAATAGGGGAGGTTGCTCTAGGTGTATGGTTGAAGCCTGGTTTTCAAGGTAAGAGAGTGAAAATCGAAGTGGACTTTGGTTTTATAAAGTCAGGTTCAACCTTTAAGTCCTAAATGCAGAACATCGAGGCCATCTGTCGCCATACTACTTATAATATTTAACGATGAGCTAGCACAAAGAAGTCGCATTTCATGCAGGTTAAATATTCAGAGTCGGAAGACATTGCTCTAGATTGAATTGTAGAGCCTTGTTAGACAAAAAAGTTCTAACGCTTTCGTTTGGACAATATACCCAATTTCGAAAGGCCGTAGATGAACTATGCGTACTATCAACAATATGCAAAACGAATTCTAATAAAAGCAAGGCTACAAAATTCTTCAATCACAATAATTGATATTTCGATTGAAAATAGACTGAGATCTGTCTGCGACGTTGTGGCTTGACATCACTGACTTATGCTAAGTAAAAATAATCTTGTCAAGTAGATAGAGAATTAGAGAAAACACGTATATTTTCAAAGAAAATGTAGTTATGAATAGTTCAGAAAATGTGCAAGACCTTCCATTACGTCCTCTTCTTAGCGGGCTTCTCAGCATTCGCTTCGTCCTTGGATTGATCCGCCGCAGCAACGCTTTTTGGTACCTTTTTGCCCTCATCTTCATTCCTCTCACTCTCTCGATTTGCTAACTTATTGTTGATCAAATCATGAAGAGCAAGAATAGCTCGCATCACACAAGCAACATAGATGTTTAGCATTTGATCATTAGATGTCATATTGAGGGATCGAACCATATCAGACAGTTCCACGTCTGGTAGAAGGTTAAACATATCCTGCAGTTTGTACATAACCTGATAGTTAATTGGTAATTGTTTGCTTGTAACAAGCTGGAGGTAATTGTGGATTTCATCTAGTTGATGTAACATTCCACAGAGACCAGCCAACTTCGCATTGATACGCTGGGTCAAGCTACCCAAAGACGAGTCCTTTATATCCCTGGGTGATAAAAAACATAGATTAGAGGACGTTACAACCCCCATCAAAGTAATATTATTCAATCATTAATGTTAACCTCAATAAATGTTCAACACCAACTTCTTCCGCTTCTTCAGCACCAATTTCAGAAAGAAGATGATCGAAGGTCTTTGTAGTTGGAGTCCCATCCTGAGAAATAGGTAAACGATTAATTAAAAAGCAAATATAATGGAATTTATTAATCGATGCAAATACTAACATCATGAACTTCCTCAACTGCTATATAAGCTTCAGTAGGGATCCCATCACTTTCATTCGTTTTAACATCAACAACGACGAGAACAGAGTTTGGTGTGTACTTTCTGAATAGTTCGTTGATCTTAATATCATTTGTACATAATTTTGGGCCCGAATGATACCAGCCCACAATACGTTCCCGGGCTAATTAAAAAGTTAAGGATGATAATAAAAATAATACCATTGACTTTCTTGAACATCGCAAACATATTTTCCAAGTAATCGTGATCAAGAAACCATACATTCGGGTCGGCTAGATCTTCTTCGAATGGAACCGCAAAACAGTTGCTGACGTCTAGGATGCTACCACGCAGAGCTCCCAAAAGAACACCAACAACGCGTTTTTGACCACCGCTAATCTTACCAACACGGTTAAAATGGTCGACAACACCGAGAAGAACGAGAGGATGTACAGTCACTTTAGAAATTTTCGGATGCTCTGTTTTTTTCACTTTAATTGGATCTGGATTAGCATCTTTCATTTCGACATCAGCTGTCTAAGATTCTACATTATTTAAAAAAATCGAAATATTACCATCTTTATATTAGTAATCAACGAATTTCGGAAACACCAAATCGGTGACCTTCAAAGATGCTTTCTTAAATATGAATGGCTGTTTTATGAATGCTTTGGATCGCTTTAATTAGCATGTTTATTAAGTGTGATAACATCTAGAAATGCAATATTTTAATTTATAATTTTAAAATTTTACGGGTGAAATTTGAATAAAACATAATTGTTGTCTCTATTATTTTACCAAATATATCAATGCACATATGGCTGAAGATAATAACGAAATCGTATGAGAGATTAGTGCCAGTGAGTCTGTATAAATTCCGTCAGTTCTGTTGTTTAATATTCATGAACATTTAAAGCTTTGCTTAACCGTACTCAAGCAATCGAGACAACCACCGATTTGCCTAATGTTATCGAAGAAATTAAACTAGTCAGCTATTATTTTTTATGCCTACTATTGAATATCATTCAAATGTAGACAAAATATTTCGAGTAATATCTCGAATTCAGCAGTTTTGGACATATATTTAAAATATCAATTTATCCTGATCTTTACCAAAAAACTGGGCTTTACCCCGCTTGTTCGTATTTTGGGAGTATTATATATTATATTTGGGCACGTGATAGACTTATATCTTCGCGGTAACCCTGGCCAACGTATGCTCATACGGCACACAAAGTCAATAAATCGTCAATTAGCTTCTGACTTCGAGTTACCATGACACGACTGCACGGCATATTCGACCATTTTCATTGTACTCACCTCACCTTTTTCTCTACCTTATTGTCTATCTCCTTTACATCTCTCTATCACTCTTCTGTCACTCCCGCCACTCGGCTTTTTGTGATTTTGATGTTCCTTCCCTCTGTGAAGGTCCAAATCAACGAATGAGCCAATAGTAACCATTACAATGTCATTTGACATAAATAATCGAAATTTAAACTAATTTTTCATCGTAGTGTCTGTTCCACCTAACTCATCACGTTAAGAGTGATGTGTTCAATTTTGTTACCTATGCGTGCTGTGCAATTTACTGCCAACATTATCATTGGAATATTTTAAAATATTTAGACGTCCAATATAATATCTCTTTACGAATTTTGTGTTATGAACTTATTTTACTTTTAAGATGATGGTTATTTCGAGACAAACTACTAGTCGAAACCTCTTTTCGAAATTGTTTGACGGTGAGCAATAGTTCATTTAAAAGTTTATTGTGGTCGTAACACCTCTAACATTTTTAAATACTGTTTTTTCTGCTTAATTTACTGGAATCCATACAATAAGTGAGGCTTTGCAGAATTAGCAGAAGTAAAATTTGTCACATTATCTAATTAGTTTGAAAATGCTAATGCTTACCATAACCATTTCAATTTTGAAGTTTTTGAATGAAAAAAATTGTATTTCAATCGTTTTCGATAGTTAAAATACAGACCACAAAACCTTCTACCATTTTCCGAATACATTACTTTCGCAAAGGTGTCATGTCATTCACTCACCCAATTTCATGAACTCAAAATTATATATCATATGAAAATTGCATTCTAGAACGCATTTATATCATAGAACTGCTCTTGTAAGTCCACTATGTTTTATTTGCATTTCCAAAATAAATTTCCATTTTAATGTCATTTTTGATTGTTGAAAAGTAATTTTATCAGCATTGGTCGGCTTTAGCATTCATTTCAGTCCTTATCCTCCCTCGTTTCTTTTCCCAAGGTTGATTTATCGATTTAATACCCTCCTTATTTTACCATATTAGATTTAAAAATATTACCAACCCCTTGATAATCTAGGCCAAAATTGGCTTTGAAATAGTGAATCGAAGTGTTAAGAAGAACTGTTATAATTGAAAAATCAGTCTATGAACAAAGCATATTGTGAGCAAGAATTCACTTATTTATAAAGGGGACAACTCATGGAAATTAAATTTTGGAATACAGTATCTAAAATCTGAAAATCAATCGAGGTAAAGTACTCTAACTTTATTTTGACACCTTTTACAACTCATCGCTATCGTCCTTGTCGCTGTTTCGTTTCCGACGCTTTTCCGAAATGGAAATGTTTCTCTTGCCTTTACTAGAGGTTAAAATACCATAAATATTAAAATAATAATCTTTCTTTCTTAGTTGGTTAACATTTTCTCAGATGTAGGCAATGCTTAAAATGACAAATAATTGTTTAAATGAGCTTCAGATAGCAATTCTAAAAACTTAACTATAAATACTGCAACTGCAATGACGACCGACTTATAATTACATAGTATTCCGCCCTAATGTTTCTATCGCATTATTCTATTCGTCATATAATGAAGAAAAACAACCATTTACCGACTTGAAATAGTAATACATGGGCAAGTTTGATGCTAGTTCTAAGGTGCTTAACAACTTTTCTTAATAATAGCGACAGGGTCGTTGGACGTCTTCCTCTTCTTCATTGGTTTCAGAGCCCTTCATCAAGATTTTTTACTAATATTTTGTCGCCTGAGGAAGAAATAGACGAATAAGTTACATGAATCCTCAGGAAAAGATTCTGTCATAAATGCCAGCATCCTGAATTTTCACGGTATAATAGAGCGGTAGAAATATGGTTTATTGGAGGAGGCCGGAGACTTTAAGAGAGAAATGAAAGGGTGAGCGAGTTCGATGTGCTCTTAGACATGAGAATGAGAGAATTTCAGAGCTTATGAAGGCAAACTTGAAAACAGAATTGCTATAGAGCATCTTTTCTACAGAGAGAGAGGGTAATTTCAATGATGAAATGATGATGAATTCGGAACTTAATATTTTTAGATCAACTCAGAATATTGATCTTTTTATTACTAAGCCGCCACAGACAGGTTCTCAAGTATTGGGAAAGCATTTAACAATATTCCTCTGCGATTTGCTGATTTTGAACCACAAAACTTATGAAGAGGAGGAGCGTCATAAAGTCTTCATGACTGGAGGCTCAAATTTCACCATCTTTATTGCTTCGTTCACCTAGTATGTAAAAATCGGTAACGAAATTATGATCTTTGACGTTGGGGCCAAATTAGCCATGCCCATTTTTTAACACTCAACTTGAAGAGTACGTAGTGGTCTTCATTCAGTGTTTGTAGTAGATGTTACACAAACAAAACATAATAAAATCTCAGTAATTTTTTCTGACCAAAATGTCCTAGAATGAAATTGCTCCCGAAACAAAACAATCTCCTTTAATGATTTGGGGAAACCAGAGCTTATGGAGTGAATAGCACTTATTCTGCTTATAGGACAGTGACACGGGGCTTAGACGTTTTGGTGTAACTGAGGCTACGCTGAGCGGTGCCGGCTAGTGATAGTTGGTTGGCTGGGGGAGGGGGTTCCGGACACACCTTCAGTGCCATAGCCGAACCTTTCAGTCTGTCAGATGAGCACGCTCTCTTTGCTCAGTCTTGGCAATGTATTGGGTATTCATCAACCAGTATTTCCTATTATTATAGGATCAACAGAGACATTTGGCAATTTTCAATTGTTAAAATGGGAACCTAACTGAACCCTAAAAAATGGAGAAGTGCATGATGAAATTGCTACAACCCCAATTGGTTGAAATTCGGTGAGGCCAATTACCGTTGAACACTACTGATTTGAAGTGGTAAGGCACTCCTATTCAATAAGTCTCGCAGAAATCACCGAATTAGAATCAATTCGGCATAACATGAGCATGAAGCAGTGAATTGGCGACTAGGCAAAGATTATTATTTGTATTAATAAGCTCGCTTGAACTAAAATCAATAATAAAATGTTTGATGGTTTAAACTTTTTAATCCACTAAACAAGTGAAAGTTTGCTGTGATAGCTGCAAACCTCATGAGAAACGAGGTCATGAAATTAAGGCGGAAACAATTGGATGGTGCTCTTCCAAGTCGCTTTATGAGAAAGTATTCGCAAATTCTGAGCGCGATAACTAGAGCAATTTAAAATAATGTGTCATTTTAGTACAATTAAGCACGGCATTTCCCACTATATCATGTTAGATAGTACGCAATAACTTTTGTCCTCTTTTGCTATTTCTCTTGACAAAACAAAACCCAGGGAATAGATCGAATAGAATATATCTGCTTTATCAAGTGGAGCATGAAACAATTGGGAGATATAGAAGTGGAGTAAGCCGGAATTCGTGAAAGATAGACTTTATATATTCCCCATACTTAGATCGTATTTTAAGATCGCGTACACCACATCTGGAGCCTGTTGACCACTCGATTTAATTTAGTGGTTAGCCAATAGCTTGTAGGTTAGACTATCTAAGGCAATTCAAACATCGTGGAGTCAGAATTTACCTAAGGACACTTGTGCACACACACACACACACACACACACACACACACACACACA